CGTGTCCCTCCTCCCGATTGAAAACGACAACCACGCCCTCAGCCGCCAGCCTTCTCCGCATGCACCTCTGCACATTAGTATCTCACTTCTGCACTGCGCCTCCTCTGAGTCTCAGTATGTTTTTCTCTTTCCTCCTAGTTGTAGAATTTCCACTCAGCCAGCTTTCCTGTGGTTCTGGATGATGTCTGTTTCGTTTTTTAGTTGTATTTTTGAAGTGGTTGTTCAAGGCAGCAAACTCCGGTGTTTACCTATGCCGCCATCTTGGTTTTCCCATAATGTCTTACACAGCACTTATTGAATGGATGTCTTTGGAGCCCAGGAATTCTGAGAAGTGACTAAAATTGAAAGCCTTCCCCATACATACACTGCCCTCCCCACTTCTTAGGCACTGCCATGATATGACATCACTCAAGGCAATAATCTCTATTCTTCTTGGGTCCTGCTTTGTGGCAAGAGTCCACACTAGCTACATCCATTACAGACCTAGTTGTGGAAGAAGTAGACCAACATGCCCAAAGCTAGGTAGCCAAAGGATCAATTCACTGAGTGACCATATTCCCAAACTTACTAAACTTAACAGTCCTCCAAAACTCTTTTCAAGATAATCTTCTTGAGTACATCAATAAACATACATTTCTTCTCTTCTAAGTATATTTTTATGAATGTTATTTTTTAATATACACATATTCATTGAATATATTCTTAGCATTTTAAAAACATTAAATCTGTCAAAAGTTAAGTATTAAGGGTTGTTTAGTCTTCTTATACTCTTCTTATGAATATAGTCAAACTATCAGCATTTCATATAAGAATTTTATCCTCATTTCTGTTGACTATCTTTATAGTTTCTTCCTGCTTTACCAAATTTTTGACATTTTCATTTTAAGGATTATTTTGACCATTGTATTGAATAACTACTAATCAAATTTACTGATTTTCCAACTTATATATTTCCTGGAAATTTTGATCAGATGGGATAGTATGGTTTTAATGGCTTTTGAAAATGTCTATGGCATTTAGTTGGCCACTTCTCATTTATTCTTCATAGCATAATTTGAGAAGGATTTAGTTTGTCTCTCCCAGCTCCCTGTTGCAGCTAGAAGGAGGTTGACCATAGAGCATCCCAACCGGGGGAAGGGGAAGTGGGGAACTAGCACACAGCTCAAACTTGGTTGCTGATTTCAGGGTTGGAGGGGTGGTGTCCCAAGATGAAGGGAGATTTGAAGATGCCTGAACCCTGAAATTTTGGCAAACTACAGACTTCTTAGCCCCAGCCAGTTCATCCAATATAAATTACTGCAAAATTTTAAATAGTAAACAATAACAATAGAAAACCGAGTTTTTGATAAATTGGAACATTTGGCAACGTGAGCATATCAGTCAGTTGGCCAGGTGAACCCCAGCACATTGGCTTCAGAGGTCGACTATGAACTGCTTGCTGCTGACTCCTTTGATAGTCTTGTTACTGGGTTGGGTTTAATGAGATTATAATTTTTTTTTTGTAAAAAATTGGTTGTGTGAGTGATGATGAAGGTAAAATGTGCAGACAAGATATCCATTTTGAGAAGTGAGATTAGAATTGCCAAGTCTGTATGCTCTCATTTTCTAAAAGAGAATTAACATGATCACAGAAGAATGGGTCTCAAATTCAACAATTTTTCCCATAGATTAAGTATAGGTATCTTTGTAAAATGAAAAGGGAAAGAAAGAATGCAGTAACCATGTCTATTCATATTCTTTAAATGTGGCTCAGGGGACATCCTATGTATCTATAGCCTACTGGAGTAGAAAATTCAGTAGAGTTATGGTAAGAAGCATGAGAGAGTTTCCCTTTGCCTCTCATTGAAAATGTGGTTGTGTTTCTTTTCCCTGTTCAGGCTATAGTTATCTGATTTGTGATCATATGAGGGCTGTGGACCTCTACATCAGCGCCCTGGAGAATCTCTGTCCTCTGATGGCCTTTCCCTGTGCTAGCTACAAGGCCTTCCTTGCTGGACACTGTCTGGATTGTTTTAATCCTTTTCTGCTTTCCTGTCCAAGGATCGGTAAATGCTACCTCTTTGTTTTCTTTGACAATTTGGGGGAAGTCCAAGTATTGCTAGTTGTCACCGCTCTAAGTCCTGATCAATGGTCAAGAAATCTACCCAACTGTGATAAAGAAAACTTAATCGATGGGGTGTTCAGCCTCTGTTAACCTGGAGGATGTCACTTGGCCTTGTGTCCCATCCCTCACTCTCTATACTGCTGCCCAATCCCATACTCACCCTGCACACACCCTTAACATGCACACAGCCCATCCCCTGCAGGACCAGCCTCAGGATGCTCTCTAGAAACATTGCTATATTCCAGAGCCTCTGACTCCACTTGTAAACTGGATGCTGGACAATGGTCTTTTGAGTTGGTCCAGCCATTCTTGAATTCCTGGTAGTCCCTAAATCAAGGTGCTGTGGGGGAAGTCCCCAAGATTGGCACACATGGCCCACTTTAAAGGTGTGAGGCTGTGGTGGCCATGTGCCAGCAGCTGGAGGGGTGTCTAATTGCTGGCCGGCTCAGGCACGTTCCTGGATGATCCAGGCCATTCTGAGGAGAAGGGTTCAGGAAAGGCTGAGGGATCTGGTGTTCCTCACCTGTGCAGATCACTGCTGAAAACATCCTGGGGTTTTCTTCCAGAATGAAGGGCTTCAGGAAAAACTCTGGGGAGTGTAAATGGTTCCTTCCCCTTTCCCTCTCTCCCACTTCCCACCCCTGGCTCAGAGCTACAACAGCCTGGCACTGCTCACATGAATGAAATTGATATCATCTTGACAAAATGGTAAAGTAAGGCTAGCTTCCCATAATAAAGCAAATCAATATTACTGTCTACTTATTGGGCATATGTCATGATTTCCCTCAGATGTGACAGACTGGCTGGTGTAACAGGGAAAGCTCTCACAACAGCCTCATCTCTCACTACACTTTCACTGACATGGCACATCCCAGGGATGCTAACTACTGTAATCCCAAGAGCATTGTATGTTTCCTTACTCTTTGTGCCTTTGTTGAAACTGTACTCTCGGCCCAGAATGCCCTTCCCTACTTGTCAACCACTATTCAGCTCAAATATTTCTTGTGTTCCTACTACCCAGGAGGTAAATGACATTAAACAACTGTCATGTAGATTGTTTTGCAGAATTTTTCAAATTTCTTAGAAATACCTCCTGAGAATGGGCCAGGTGATCTAAACTTCCTGTTTACTTGTGTGTTTATCTGCAGCTAGTCTGAGTTGCATGTACCCTGGGACTCACCATAGGGCATGGCATGTAATGAGCATGCAGTGTGGTTGCTTGCAGAATGAATAGGTGCATGAATTAATCAACACCTGGATGCCATGGACTCTGAAATGGCTGTCTCAGTACTCTGCTGTCTTTGTTTCTTGACTTCTAGGGCTGGTGGAACAAGGTGGTGTCAAGATAGAGCCACTTCCCAAGGAAGTGAAAGTCTACCTCCTGACCACTTCCAGGGCTCCGTACTGTGGTGAGTTGGGGGGTAAAATGCACAGCTCAGGTCTGCCAGTGTGCTGTCCAGCAGAGTCCAGGGCTCTGGCTTGGGCTGTGTTCAGCCCAGCTTGGTAGCCAAGGTGGGAGGTGAAGGACTAAGGCAAAGATGTCATGGGAGGGGTGGGGCACAGCTACTACTGGTCTCAGTTAGAACCAGAACTTTCAGAGCCAGTTTAACCCATTACTCTGCTAAGGATGAGGACTTGGGAGCATCTTCCTATTTATATACTGATCCTAGTCCCCCACCTCAGCTACCCCCAAATCTGCCCCTCCAGTGTGGGCTCTCTCTAGAGTGGTATTCGAATGTACTTCTGGCTTCTTCCTTCCTGAAGGTGATGCCCATTCATAGATCCCAACTGTTCACTGTTGCTTCTAACCTTAGCATTTCATTGAAGCTAAGGTGCCAGTGATTATAAAGATGTTAAATGTTAGAGAAAAGTGAGCCTTAGAATCTATGAATTATATTGTAGGCTGAAACATCATCCTTCCCTATATGATTTGCATCTTAACTAGGGTGACTCTACTTCCTGGTTTGTGCTTTTATCCTGGGATCTCGTCTGGCTTATTGTGTGCACAGAACAGAAGTAGGCTGGGTTAGGATGATAAATTTATCATCCTAATTCTAATTCTAACTGATTTTCTGATCAACTGTGTCTGGCTGCTGGAGGGATCTTTGTGGCCATACCTTACTAGTACTAGAAGGTCTGGTGCAGTGTGATAGGGAGATCAAAGTTCAGACTCTGTGGTCTTACAGACCAGGATTTGAATCTCAACTTCTCCACTGTGTGGCCAGGAGCAAGTTACTTTACCATTTCTCTCACAACAGCCTCATCTCTCACTACACTTTCACTGACATGGCACATCCCAGGGATGCTAACTACTGTAATCCCAAGAGCATTGTATGTTTCCTTACTCTTTGTGCCTTTGTTGAAACTGTACTCTCGGCCCAGAATGCCCTTCCCTACTTGTCAACCACTATTCAGCTCAAATATTTCTTGTGTTCCTACTACCCAGGAGGTAAATGACATTAAACAACTGTCATGTAGATTGTTTTGCAGAATTTTTCAAATTTCTTAGAAATACCTCCTGAGAATGGGCCAGGTGATCTAAACTTCCTGTTTACTTGTGTGTTTATCTGCAGCTAGTCTGAGTTGCATGTACCCTGGGACTCACCATAGGGCATGGCATGTAATGAGCATGCAGTGTGGTTGCTTGCAGAATGAATAGGTGCATGAATTAATCAACACCTGGATGCCATGGACTCTGAAATGGCTGTCTCAGTACTCTGCTGTCTTTGTTTCTTGACTTCTAGGGCTGGTGGAACAAGGTGGTGTCAAGATAGAGCCACTTCCCAAGGAAGTGAAAGTCTACCTCCTGACCACTTCCAGGGCTCCGTACTGTGGTGAGTTGGGGGGTAAAATGCACAGCTCAGGTCTGCCAGTGTGCTGTCCAGCAGAGTCCAGGGCTCTGGCTTGGGCTGTGTTCAGCCCAGCTTGGTAGCCAAGGTGGGAGGTGAAGGACTAAGGCAAAGATGTCATGGGAGGGGTGGGGCACAGCTACTACTGGTCTCAGTTAGAACCAGAACTTTCAGAGCCAGTTTAACCCATTACTCTGCTAAGGATGAGGACTTGGGAGCATCTTCCTATTTATATACTGATCCTAGTCCCCCACCTCAGCTACCCCCAAATCTGCCCCTCCAGTGTGGGCTCTCTCTAGAGTGGTATTCGAATGTACTTCTGGCTTCTTCCTTCCTGAAGGTGATGCCCATTCATAGATCCCAACTGTTCACTGTTGCTTCTAACCTTAGCATTTCATTGAAGCTAAGGTGCCAGTGATTATAAAGATGTTAAATGTTAGAGAAAAGTGAGCCTTAGAATCTATGAATTATATTGTAGGCTGAAACATCATCCTTCCCTATATGATTTGCATCTTAACTAGGGTGACTCTACTTCCTGGTTTGTGCTTTTATCCTGGGATCTCGTCTGGCTTATTGTGTGCACAGAACAGAAGTAGGCTGGGTTAGGATGATAAATTTATCATCCTAATTCTAATTCTAACTGATTTTCTGATCAACTGTGTCTGGCTGCTGGAGGGATCTTTGTGGCCATACCTTACTAGTACTAGAAGGTCTGGTGCAGTGTGATAGGGAGATCAAAGTTCAGACTCTGTGGTCTTACAGACCAGGATTTGAATCTCAACTTCTCCACTGTGTGGCCAGGAGCAAGTTACTTAATCTTTCTGAACTTCTATATCCTTATGTAGAAAGTGGGAACAATAATTGTACTGTATCTACTTTGATGAACCAATTACACAGATAAAATAGTATACAGAAAGTTAGTAACTCAGTGACTAGAACCCGATAATTAATAATTCCCTTCCCTTTATCAATCAGACAATTTGGGAAAGTAGATGCAGGTGTTTCCAATTTAATTCCAGAGAGAATTCATGGCTCCCTGTTAGGAACAAAGTAGGTTACAAGAGTTAACTGTGGGCTTTTCACATGTATCAGCTCCCTTGATAACCCAACTCTGAGAGGTAGGTGTGAGGAAAGGGAGGCTCTGAGAGACTGGGCGATTGCCCAAGGCTACATAGCTGGGTGAAAAAGTCAGGATTCAACTCTAGGCCTTCTGACTCCAAAATCTATACTCTTCCTATGCCACCTGCCTCCACACTTGTTTCTTTGCTCCTCTTCTGAGAACCTGCTCTTTACAGCTGTATTTCTCAGCTACTCATCTGTCCTCAGCATCCCTTGGAGGTCAGCCTGAAAGAGGATGCTTAGTCCAGCGGTGGAGGCAGTGCTGTGGGGAGCAGACGTCCAGTTCTATTTCCCAGGCAGCTTCTGGACCACCTGAACTTGCTCCTCCCTGTCTGCACAGGGAGCACATGGAAATTACAGGCATTTGAAGGTCGCTACTGAGGCAGATTCACGTAGCCATAATTTTTCTGTTTTAAATTTGTTGTGAGACCTCCTCCCAATGCCCCCAGAAGCATGATCCTGTCTGTTCAGGAAAACCTGTTTGCCTTTGTGCTTTGAGGCTTCTGTTCTGAGTGTTCAAGCTGGGACCTTCCATTCCCTCGGGGTATAGTCTTCCACCTGGTAGTGCAGGTGGTGCTGGCAGCTGGCAGCTCCCTGTTCTCACCCACTCCCAGGCCATCATGGCACTGGGCTGGGCTCAGCAGTGCTTACCAGGACAAGGATCACCCTATACCCTTGCCAGGAATGCACCAGCAGGGCAGAACAATCTTCTCTAGATAAGATGAAATGAGGTCATAGAGAAGAACCTTTTCTCTATTACCTAATTCTCGTCATGTTCTATGAGGTGATGCTGGAGTTATTTACAGATGAAGCACAGAGAGGTTCAGTGACTTAGACAAGGCAACACAGCAGGTAAGCAGCAGGGCCGGGCCTTGTATCCTGTCTCTTGATCAGCCATCCAGGGCTCTGTGTGCTGCTTTCCATGTCATACTCCTATGCAAATTGGTTCCCACTGACCCAATGTTAGCAGACCTGGTCCTCCTGGGCCTTCCAGATAATGTAGAGCAGGGAGAAGCAGAACCTTAGGAAACTTTCTTGATCAATGATAACTTCTGGCAAAGAAGTGGTATAATTAAATTCCTACGGCTCATGTAAGTTAGCTTTTATTTTCTCACATCACAATTATCTACTTCAGTTCAACCTTGTCCATCACCGTAACAATCTATATCCCATAGTAAACAAATAAGAGAGATGGCAGGGGTGTGGCACTTTCTTGGGTGTGTGTATGAGGTGGGGGAGAGCATGTAGTGCTGTCCACCGTAACAATCTATATCCCATAGTAAACAAATGAGAGAGATGGCAGGGGTATGGCACTTTCTTGGGTGTGTGTATGGGGGTGGGGGAGAGCATGTAGTGCTGTCTTTTATTCTGGTGAGTTCTTGGCATCTTGGCATCTCTCCTGAGTCCTGTCACTAACCCCATGAGCCTGGGGGGACCACAGGCAGGGGAAAGGGGAAGGACTGCTTCTCCAGCTATTTCCCAATCACCAAAGGAGTCTGTGAAAATGTTCCAAGACCAAAGTTACTACAAAATGCCGCCAGATGGGCCTACCTCTTAATAAGAAAATAGTGGGGTGTTAGGGAGGCTGCACTCCTTAACCTCTCCTGCCAGAGGGACAGCAGGTTCTAGCAGGTTCAGTGACTTAGACAGGGGTATTGCCATGAGCCAGGCATCTCACACAGTCCGTGTCGATGACACCAGCCTTGAGAGCCCCAGTGACCATGCTGCCTGGCAGGGGGAGATGCCACATAGGCACCCTCTGCCACAGGGAGGGAAATAGTCACCTCCTGCACACAGTGTGCTCCCCGACACTGTGTATATGACTGGTGGGGTTGGGGAGGGGCGTTACTATATTTGTGATTTAATTATTTAGTGTAAGAGATACTCTTTTTGGTTCTTTTAAAATCACACTACCAGATAACATCACCAAACAGGGTGGAGTGGGACATTCTAGCATTGCAAGTAATAATAAAAACTAACATGGATTGAATGCTTCTGAAGCATGGGCACTGTCTATGGACTTTATATGTAGTCACTCATTTCATTCTCATTGAGACCTGTGAGGGATCTATTTTATTTTCCTCAATTTACTCTCGAAGAAGCTGAGGATCTGCAGTGACAGGTAATCTGCTCCAGGTCACACAGCTACGAAGAGGTAGGGCTGAGATTTCTAATCGCACTGCTGTGCTCTCCTGGGGGCTTTTTGGGCACTGCACCCACCAACCTCTAGCTCACTTGTCTGCTCTATTTTGGTTTCCTAGCGCATCACACCCTTGTGGAGTTTAACTTGCTAGAGCCAAGAAACAAGGATACCCATATCGTGGTCACCTTCTTTAGCAGCAATGCCACCTCCTCAGGCAAGATCACCATGTAAGTAAGTGTCCCTCACGGCTGGCTGGCTTCTCTCCTTAGGACATAGTTTTATTTTACACACACACACACACACACACACACACACACATATCCCAAGACAGGCACTGTGTCATCATTGGTGAGTGAGCCGAGCCCACTGGGTTGGGGCTGGGGGTGAGGGCAGAATCTACCCCAGACACATACTGGGCAACTGTCTTAGGTTCAGGGTCAGTACTGGGTTCAAGCATATTGCATTCAGACAGGAGCAGATGAGTCAGGCAGGCAGCAGTGATGGGGTGTCCCAACAGGTGATAAAAACATAGAAATTGTGTCCCTGATAGGAAGCAGTGCTCAGGTATCCAGGAGGGGGCATCAGGGATGTCAAAAGTAGGAGGGCTTCAGCCATTAGGAAGGGCAGGCCGGAGCCTGGGAAGCACCCACTCCTGAGTAGGGGAGCAGCACTGGGTGAGTTACCAGAGCAGAATTGCAGGCAGTGTCCTCAATTTACACTCGAAGAAGCTGAGGATCTGCAGTGACAGGTAATCTGTGTCAGGTAGCAAATGAATGCAAAGGGAGGGCCAGCAGGCTTGATGCTGGGTGGTGCCAGTTACTGGAACAAGGGCTGAGCGTTTCCTTCCTTTGTGGTCACACTGGGCCTAGCAGCTGGTTGGGACCAGACTTGAGATGGGAGGGCAGAGGACCTCAACTCTAGGACATCACCAGCCAGGCAGGGAAAAGGACCTCAGCAGTGCATGCTTCTTCAAAAAGCAATTGGTTGGTTACTCACAAACGAGTAAGACATTCACTAATCAGATAAAACAGCATCTCGGTTAGGGTCCAGTCTGGGAACCAGAACCCAAGCCAGGTAGTCCAATAGGAGGGATTTAACTCAGGGAACTGATTATGAACGTGTTGGGAGACCTGAAAACCCAAAAGGATGGGAGGCAATGCAGAAATCAGCCAGAAGAGGAGCCATCCCACCCCAGGGATAGAGGGACAAAGTCAGGGCGGTGTTGGCAGAGCACAGAACTGAGCTAGATTCTCCCTGGAACCTGCTGGCAGAGGAGCCTGAGAATAAGGTTTGCAGAAGAATGGAAAGCACACAAACGGGAAAATGACCAGTGTGCACACATACCAGGGTAGAAGTGCACAACTGTCAAGGACAGATGCTATGCAAACATGTAAGGCGACACTTGACCAAGTGTGAGGACATATTTGAGTAGAGATTTTGTTATTATTGATTTCAGAGAGGAAGGGAGAGGGAGACATAGAAACATCAATGATGAGATACAATCATTGATTGACTGCCTCCTGTATGCCCCACACTGGGGATCAAGCCTGCAACCCAGGCATGTGCCTTGACTGGAAATAGAACCTGGGGTCCTTCAGTCCACAGACCAACACTCTACCCACTGAACCAAACCAGCCAGGGCTGAGTAGAGATTTAAGATTCTCAGGAGTTGCTCAGGTCAGGGTTAGTGAGACTATAGCCCTGGGAGGGGACAGGAGGGGGTCAAGGCCCCATGTGAGGAGGCTGGAAGGGCAAGTCAGGCCCACTCCAATCAAGGCCCTGAAGGTTAGAGATTTTGGTTTTATCCTGAGATCCAGGTTGGGGAGCCACTGGGAGTTTTAAACAGGAGTGTGACCAGATCAGTTTCGGGTTTGAAAACATTTCTCAGGCTGCAGGGCTGCACATTCACTGTGCTGTCAGGGAAGAAAAATCTCTGCTGGAAGGAGCAGGACTTCTTGGCCCCCAAACAGCCTGCGACAGCCAGGGTACAGCTCACCAAGGCCACACCATGAACATGGCAGGCAGTCAGGACACCACCGGATCTCCAGGTGCCTAGATGAGCCCTGTACATTGTGGCTTTTCTTCTTCAGATCACTTCAAAGGTGTGTTCCTTCTAGATGGGTGTTTTCGTCACCTCTGCAGCCCATTGGTAGTCCAAAAGAAGGGATTTAACTCTGTGACAGTGACACATAACTCTGGCTGCACATTAGAATCACCTGGAGAGCTTTGAAAAATACTGCTACTAAGCTCCACCCCAGAACAACCTGAGCAGAATCTCTGGGCATTGCCTCAATAGCTATCCTTTTTTTTTAAATAACCTTTTATTTTTTCAATTACAGTTGTCGTACAATATTATATTAGTTTCAGGTGTGCAAACAAATGAGATTTGACATTTACATAATTACAAAGTGATCTGCCCGATAAATCTAGTACCCATGGGACACCACACATAGGTATTACGATATTATTGACTATCTTCCAACAGGTATACTTTTAAAGCTGGGGCGGGGAATGCCCAGCCCATTAGTAGTATAAGGCCCGGGAAACCATTTGGTCTGGCCCTGCCAAGGCATTAGGGGTGAGTTAGTGAAATGTTTGACCAAACATAGCAGGCTGATTGTTGATAATTTTGTAAGGCCCAAGAATGATGTTATAAATATTCAAACGGCCCCTGGCAGAAAAACGGTTCCCCAACTCTCAGAACATGATTACCTTAAATTCCTTGGTGATTTTGTTTTCTTGCAGAACAGAAATTGAAAAAAAGGTGGGGGGAAGGGGCCTGTGGATGGTCTTTCCCCAACTTTCTGTAATTTTGTGAAACCCCCAAATTTCCTTCTGATTAGAGAATTTACCTGGGCCTAGTCCCCAGCTGCTCACAGCGTCCTTCATACTCCTAGTTTGCAAGCTCCTCCATCCAAGCAGCTTCTTCCAGTGAGCATTAAATATTTCAAAAACACTTCCCACATCCTATCTAATAAAGACAGAATATGCTAATTGACCCTCTCGCCATGGCAAAGATGGCAGCGCCCACAGCCAATAAGGAGGGAATATGCTAACTGACTGTCCTGCCCTCAAAGATGGCAGTGCCCACAGCCTATAAGGAAGAAATATGCTAATTGACTGCCCTGCCCTCAAAGATTGGAACAAGGATGTAAGCTGGTTTTGCATCCAGTGTGAGGTGGCCGATGTGTACAATGAGAAATGTTATCTTATCTAATAAAGAGGGAATATGCTAATTGACCCTCACACCATCAAAGATGGCAGTGCCCACAGCCAATAAGGAGGGAATATGCTAATTGACTACCACGCACTCAAAGATGGTGGCGCCCACAGCCACAAGATGGTGGCACCCAGTCCCCTCAGCCCCGCTGGGGTGGCAGGAGTGCGGCAAGGCCAGGCATCCCCCAGTTCCCTCAGCCCCCCAGGTGCCCAGGGCCAGCCTGAAGCATAGACAAGCCTTGGATGGTGGCTGCCCAGCCACCCAGGGCCAGCTGAGGCTTGCGCTGCCGGCAGTGGCAGCAGCAGAGTTGATCGCCAGGTTGCCTCCTGCCCCTGAGGGCTCCTAGACTGTGAGGGAGGGCAGGCCGGGCTGAGGGACCCTCCCCCTGCCCCCCCAGTAAATGAATTCTCATGCACTGGGCCTCTAGTGTAAAATAACAGGAACAACTTTTATACAAAGTTATACTGGATCTTCCTCAAAAGGGGAGAACAAACTAAATGACTAACCCTGGGTTAAAAAATACATAAAGAAGACATTTCATCTCTGTGGAGGCCAGAAACGAAAAGGAAACCTTGCTGCTGAGCCAGGCCCGGCCTCACCCATCTTCTGCCCGAGAGCCCGCGAGGACTGAAAGGCACAGACCAGAGCACAGGAGGCAACCTGGTGCCCTCCTGGCTCTGCAGGTGGGCCTGGCCGGTGCCAAGCCTGTCTTCTCCACAGGGGGTCCTGCTTTTGTCTAGGGTCCTGTGGCCCTTTCTGGGGCGCTTCTCTAGGTTGATCACTGCATACTCCTCTCTCCATCCTTGTCTCAGGACACGAGTCCAAAGTGGTGCCTGAATCTTGCAAACGGGCGGGCAATCAGGGCAAGGCCAATGGGGCGGGTTGGTAGAGTCCTGGATCCTGTGTTCACTCAGAGCCTCCGGGCTTCGTCAACACCAGCAAACCCTGTGCTTCAAGCTCACGGCTGGCGGGAGAGCCGGGTTCACACCTCCGGCTCCCACTGGGAAGAGACGAAACCTGGCTCTCACCCCAGCTCCGTCTAGTTTCCAGACCTGATTTTTGTTTCTTCCCACTCACACATTCAGACTCCGTCTAAAATAGAGCAGTCCTCGCATTTTCTAACTGCAATGACAGTGGCAGCGGGTTTTCCTGGACCGGTGGGTTCCATGGGGTACACTGCCGTCAGGGCTGCCGAGGGGTGCAGATAGCGGCTCTTGGGGGGCTGTGAGGGGAAAGTGCCGGGATTGGGGCTGAGATCCAGGGGAAGCCTCACTGCCCATGAGCACCGATAGGGGAGGGGAGTCCTGGGACCAAGCCCTCATCCTCTGCACTCAGCGGCCCCTGCCACAGCTCGGTGCCTGAGCCCGAAGCCCATTTTCGCAGCCACAAGCCCCTTACATTAAGAGCGAGCTCCCAGGACGCGCCTAGGAATTTCCCCAAGAAGGAGGGGAACTTCACTGCGTCCCTCGCCCTGCCTCCCACCCTGGGCCTGACCCAAACCAAAACGAGGGGTGGGGTCTCGAGGGGAGGGCAAGGCGCAGGCTCTTGCGGGATGGGCTTGGGCCTTCGGATCATCGGGGCGCAAAGCCTAAGTAGCAGCCGAGGGTTCTCAGCGGGCAGCGTGGCGCCACGGAGGAGCCCAGGAGGCCTGTGGGCGCCGGCCCTCCCAGGTCCCCCCTGCGGTCGGCTGCGCAGTGGTCCGGTCCGGGTGACGTGCGGAAGCTCCACATTCTCTGCTGTTGATTGTGGCTCAACCAGGCCCTGGTTCTGGCCTGGGAGCCCGACCGCCCCTCCGCGCCCTTGGGGCTGGTCCTGAAAGCGCCAGGCAGGTCTCATTGCCCGGAGATATGAGGGGAAAAAAAACCTCACCCCTATAGTTTTCTATGGGAATTGCTGATATGTGCAGCCGTGGTCGGATTTTTTCTTTTTGCTGTGCTTGTGGGTGAGTTTTTGTTGGATTAGAAGCCGTCTTTATGTGGAAAGAGGAAAAGCGTGCCGCGGAACTTTCTACACTAATGGAAGAAAACTGTAAACCACTTGAAAAATACAGCCTCGGAGAAGAAGAGTGTGAAGGCTTCGAGTCATTACAGGATTCCAGCTTCGAGGAGGAGCCGACAGAAACTCGAAGTTTGGAGGCAATCTGTGGAAAGCTGACCAGTTCCAAATCCGAATTTGGGGATAAAATACTCCTCCTAGCAAAAGAGTTAAAGGAAGAGGAATCCGAACAAGATGGATTAGTGGTGGATATTTCCAAAAGGATACAGTCCTTAGAAGATGAATCAAAATTACTCAAATCACAAGTAGCTGAAGCCAAAACCACCTTCAAAATATTTCAAATGAATGAAGAGCTACGTAAAATAGCCATAAAAGATACTTTGAGTGAAAGTTCCCAACTTCAGGAAAGCCAGAAACAGCTTCTCCAAGAAGCTGAAGAATGGAAAGAACAAGTAAGTGAACTTAATGAACAGAAAATAACATTTGAAGACTCCAAAGTATATGCAAAACAAGTTTTATGTGACAAAGAAAACCAGACCAAATCTCTGACTGAATACTTGCTAAAGATGCGAGACTGGACTGCAGTGCTTGGAGAAGACGTCAGGGATGATAACTTGGAATTGGAAATGAGTGATTCAGAAAATAGTGCGCTCTCAGGTAGCGAACCAGAAGGAAATTTGAAGAAGCTGATTCATACTGCTAAGTTAAAGGCTTATTTGAAAACCCTAGAAGGAGAAAGAAACCAAATATACACCCAATTAACTGACGTAGATAAAACAAAGGGAGAGCTTATAGAGTGTATTAAAAATCTCCAGGCTGAACACGCATCTTTGCAATCAGAAAATGAACATCTTGAAAATGAGAATCAAAAGCTTCAGCACAAACTTAAAGTAATGACTGAAATGTATCCAGAAAACGAAAAGATACTTAACAGGAAGTTAACAGTAGAAGAAAATTACTGGCTAGAGAAAGAGAAAAAACGTTCTAAAGGAGATGAAAAGATCACCCATGCAACTGAAGATCTAGAGACCTATAGAAAGCGAGCCAAAGATCTTGAAGAATTATTAGAGAGAACCATTCATTCTTATCAAGGGCAGATTATTTCCCATGAAAACAAAGCCCATGATAATTGGTTGGCAGCTTGGACTGCTGAAAGAAATCTCAGTGATTTAAAGAAAGAAAACTTTTACCTCAGACAGAAATTAACTGAAACAGAGCTTAAATTTGAACTTTTAGAAAAAGATCTGTATGCACTTGATGCTCCAAACACAGCATTTTGCAGAGAGCATTCCCCATATGGTCTGTCACCATTGGGTCAACCTTCATCTGAAACAAGAGCTTTTCTCTCTCTTCCGACTTTGTTGGAGGGCTCACTCAGACTCTCATCTTTGCTTCCAAGGGGAAGGAGGAGAGACTTAAGAGGCCCAGGGAATCCTCAGAACCATCAGATGACTAATGAAAGAGGAGAATCAAGCTCTTATAAGTTAACTCATCCTTACAGGGAACCTTCTCACACTGGGTCCCTTTCACCTCCATGGGAACAGTTTCATAGGATGATAATTCCTCCATCAGGCCAACCTTATCCTGTTCCAGCTCTTCCTCTACATAGGCAAGACAGATATTATGCTAATATTGGTAGGCCATCTGGACCAGCAGAACACAGAAGTTTTAATATGCCAGATGGGTCAATGTCTTCTAAAATGGAATCCAGTGGAAATGATAGCACAGATCATCTTGGTAATTTAAATATGCCTGATGCATCTCTCCCCACCAAAAGTAAAGTAACTGGCCCTGGCGTTGTTCCTCCCATGAGAGGTTCATTGTTTCCAATGGATGCAAGGGGCCCCTACATGAGACGAGGTCCTCCTTTTCCTCTACTTCCAGGACGCATGTATGGAGCTTCCTGTGATTATTTTCGTCCAAGGGACTTTTCTGGCCCACCACCTCCTCGGTTGGCAACGAGGAATGTCTATTCACCAAGAGCTTTTCCTCATTATCTTCTCCCAAGAGCTGGATTTTACCACCACATCCTGAAAGAAGAAGTAAGTACCCATCAGTGTCGATTCTGCCTTCAAGTGAGCCTACTGCTGAATGAACAACCAGAAACACAAGAGCCTCGACAATAGTTTTGGTCTCCAAAAGTAATTTTGACTTCTTCCATTTTCAGTTTAAGTGCAGCTGTTACTTAAGTGATTATACTTATGCTCAAATTGGAGCTTAATGGATACATTCTCAGGATAGTACTTTATAAATAAAAAGTATTTAAATATGAACCTAATCAATTACTTCTATTTTATTTTATTCTACACAATGTAATTATTTTAATTTGATTAACAAATCCACTATCACATAAACAATAATGGGAGTTTCCTATATGTGATCTTGTAGTTGGGGATGTTTTAAATTCCAAAGGCTATGTCTTTATGCCAAGAACTGTATTTCCTATTGTTATAGATAAATGTGAAAATAACTTTATGCTTAATTAAGTAAATTTTAATTGATTTAAATATTTGCTTGGCATAGACTATAATAATAGAATCAGCTAGTTTTTTTTCATTAAAGAAAAAAAGGGTGGAGTAGTCCTCACACAAAATCCTTTGACCTGAATGCCCTAAAAGTGGGCTCTAGTGCAAGACTGGTAAATCTGAAAGTGTAGACCTTTTCCAACTAGGAATCTAAGAACGAGGGACATTTTTCAGATGTGAAAATCCAAGGGCTACTATTTTGCTGCAGTGTCCACTTGTTTACTTAAAAAAAAACCAGAATAAATATTTTTTTGAGTCATGTTCAAAACTGTTGGTATGGGCAGAAGGATTTGTTGGGGTGATACAAAGGACCATGGTCCCCACCTTCACGGAGCTGACTCTTGTATATCACAGCTAACCAGTGCTACCAGCAGAACCTCATAAGGATCAAGGGCAGCAAGATCAAAAGTGCTACTTAATTACTCTCCCTTTCCCTTGTAGACCGAAACAGAAACTTCAGGGGAGAGGAGTCCTAGCTCACCCCACTCCTCAGTGCCAGATACACCAAGTGAATCTCAAGTTTCAGGCTTCTCGCCGGTTTTGGAGCAAGGACCGGACTATCATTGTTGGGAAATTCTGCATTGCTCCTTTGCCTGTCAATGACAAGTAAGCCGAGTGTGCACCTACCCCAGACACACCCATAAGGACCAATCCTGACCTTAGATATGATGCTTGTTGAGGTTCGATCTCATCATAAGGGATTTGCTTCTTTGATGCATAGATGACAACAACCCAAGGCTTTCCTGACACACTTGCAGGGCTATCTTGGGTTGGGAATGTTAGGAAGCCAAAGTGAGTGAAATCTAAATCCTCATTCCCACTTCAAAATAGGAAACCCCATTTTACCTGATCTATCTATCTATCTATCTATCTATATCTTATTTGATTTCTATATAAGATTTTATTAGAATAAAGATTTCTAATTGCATTTTTCCTCCTCCTTAGTGTCCACTGGTCACATTCATGGATGTGGATTGAGACTCCCCATTCCCTTTACCCGGCCTCTAGCCTTTGTAGTATTAGTCCTACCATCCCGGTCATTAAAACACAGAGCTCTTAGTCCTCTCTCCTAACCAAAAGGAACCTGCTCTGAACATATACCTTCTTGTTGTCCTTCTCTTGCAGTAAAATGACGGTCTGCTTACCTGAGCCAGTGAACTTACAAGCAAGTGTGACTGTTTCTCGTGACCTTAAAATTACGTGTGTATAGTAAAAGCCTGGACAGGACATATCCCTGGATTATAGGGATGGGGGCGGGGAGGGAGGGGTTTCAACTTATTCTAGGCCACTACTACTAAGAATGAAGGCAAGACTCGTGGTTTTTCCCCCCATAATTTACTACCTTAGAAGGGAAAGATGGCTCAGTTTATAGAGCTATCTTTATTTGCATGCCAATTTAAAGAGCCTTATATAGATATCATTTCAGCTTTCTTACTCATACTTAAGAGCAATTACCCCATGTCCTTGTGCTCTGTACAATTGAAACATATATAGGAAAAATGCTTTTCTAAAAAATAAAACTCCATGGAATATCTGAATTATTTATTATTTTATTGGGATGGAATTCTGTTACCAAAAATAATGTGATTTATAGTCTGTGAGATTGGAAAAAGAGTAGATATTGAGTTCTCTGCGTTAAAATAGCAATTGGAAAGAAGAGCTTAGAACAAGAGAGGGGAAGAAGGGTGGGGCTGAAGATACTGCCTTTCACTC